CCTACACCCTAAACCCTAAACCTTACTTACTAAGTAGCGCGTGTTGAGACTCAGGGCCAGAACTGCAGGTTTTTCGGTGCCTCCGGTCGTCTCAACCCTCGGCGCCTGCATCAACCTTAGCCCCCAAGTCCCACACCCGAAAGCCTCCAAAGGTTTAGGGTTTAGGGTTTAGGGTTTAGGGTTTAGGGTTTAGGGGTAAGCCCAACAAAAAGCGCCCAAACCACTTAATTACTACGAACTGCTGGCAGGGCAACAGGGTCTGAGTTTGGAGGTGTAGGGGTTGAGTGGCTTCAGGGGTGGGGGTTTGAGTCCGAGCGCGCCACGCGCTGGGATGTAGGAACTAGGAACGAAGCAGGAAAAGCGCTACAACCGGAAACCTGAAGCAAAATGTTGGCGAGCCATCTTCTCACTCATGCACACAGGGTCCTAAGTACCTCTGTCTATATATATATATATATGTGGGATACACCCTAAGCCCCAAACCCTAAAAAGAAGAACAGAAGTGATGCTTAAGATTGCAGGCTCATCGAACGTAGCTGATGCAAAATCCTGGCGATCGGTGCCTCTGTGTGTGTGTGTGTCCGTGCATGGCATGGGGCGGGTGTAAGAGTCCTTTCAGGCAGCCTTCTATGATGGCAAGACCGATTTGAAGGCCTTCGGCGTGAAATCGGCCAGAAAGGCACCGGAGGGTTATTGCGGCGCGTTGCATGGTTTCGGCTGTCATAGGCTCTAGCATGTTAAGGTTTCATGCGCTCCAGCTAGACTTAGAAGATTTGGGTTTCGTTTTTTGGGGTGAGTTGGGGACGCATTGGCCTTCAAAGGGTTCTTCAAGGATTACTTTCAACAGTTCCTGCACAGGGTTGCAGTATGGGGCGGATGGGCTTTATAGCGTCCTATGCAGTTTTATATGGTTTCGTAGGGGTCTGAAAAAGATAGTTACCAATACTATGTTGGGTTCCTTGTTACAGCTAAGACTATACTATAGAATATGGTGCACTATGCCCCCGAAACCCTATCCTAACTAGTTTTTAACGCCCCTATCTTAGAGTTTCATGTGGCTCAGCTAGTGACTAGGTTTGTCCTCAATCCGAATCCCGAACTTGCTGAAGTTTCATTCCCTGCTTAGCCCTACGCAAAACATGCGTGCGGCTTAGAGTGTGGGGTTTGGGGCCAACCCCAAAACCCTTAACTCCCAAAACTCTAAACCCTACCCCGACCCCCCAAGGCCTCCAAATTCCCAGTATTTATGACCATAAGGGCTCCATTAAAGAGCGCTTGGGATGTCCTGGTACCTTAAAACTGCTGAAAGGCCAAAGCGAGAGCGGAGCCAAAAGAAGCGCCGCAGTCTCTCGGGCAAGCGCCGGGTGGGGTTCCCGGATCTTTCTGTCAGGACTACTTGAGCAAGCGTGATTTCTAATGCAAAATCATGAGTACTACGCCATCAAGACCCTGATGTAGAGGTGAATCACAAGAATTGTAACATCTCTCGAGAAACAAGTAATTGCATCCGTAGTATGACCCCATCCGAAGTATTAAGCCGTCAAGACCCTAAACCCTAAACCCAAATCATGCTAACCTGCATTGTAAGAACCCCAGCCTCAGATATCCTGAACTTTCGGAGGGACCCTGACATAACACCCTAAACCCTAAACCCTAAAAACTAAACCGACAGCGGGATCCCTGTATCTCTGTTATTACGCATGAACCCCTGTGAACCCTGAGCCCTCCCCTCTGACACCAAAGCCCAGAAAAGAAGCCTAAGTCTGCAAACCCTGTACAAGAACCCTATCAGGCCCCCCCAAACCGCACAACCCTAAATCCTACGCAAGAACCCCATAAAGCCCCAACACCCGAAAAACCCTGAACCCAAAACACTAAGCCTACAAGCCCAAAACAAGCCAAACGTCCCAGACATTCCAAAGTCCCTTAATGAAGGAATGCACGTTAAGTCATGCTACAGGTCCTGCTACACTTTAACGTATAGTCCGCCATTCTTTTAGTACCCTTCTAGATACCGGTATAGATCCCCTGAAGCAACCCTTTAAGCTAGATTTCTTAGTTAAGGGTTGTTTCAAGCCCGGGCCCTTCCATGTGTCGAAGCCCGAGAAGATCCCTTAAGGGTCCTAAGTACCCATATAGTGGAGTGTAGGGTTTCTATAATAATAGGAATTTCGATTATAAGTATGCCCCATATAATATAGGGGCTTTAATAATCATGGGTTTTGGGGGTTCCTTCTTATAAATATGGTACAAGATACCCCCAAACCCTATTTTAATCATTAAGGCCCCTATATCACGCGTACTTACTTATTTGTGTTATATAGTACTCCTTACAGAACCCCTATAGAAGCCCTTATGGATGCCTGCAAGCAACCCTCAATAAGGCCCTGTACTATAGTAGTAGCCATCAAGTTGGAACATCGTTCTCCTCATGCCCCTAGAAAGTGCAGAATAGGGAATCCCAGCATGAATCATCCCGTGACCATGTTCCAAGCCCTAAACCCGAAACCCCTAAACCCCTAAACCCGTAAACCCCTAAACCCCTAAACCCGTAAACCCTAAGCCCTAAACTCCTAAACCCCGAATCCTTACACCCTAAACCCAAAACCCGTAAACCCCTAAACCCCTAAACCCCTAAACCCCTAAACCCCTAAACCCCTAAACCCCTAAACCCTGAACCCTTAAACACTAAACCCAAAACCCCCCAAACCCTGAAAGGCCCCTGTACTATGTACTTAGGACCCTTTGGGGAGCGCAGAGGCCCCGCAGCCGGCTCCCACGACCTCAATGAGTCTGCCACGCTCCCTGAGGAGGTACAAGCTTCGGGTTTAGGGTTTAGGGCTTCGGGGCTTCGGGATGGTTTTGTGGAAGTTTAGGGTTTCGACATGTTTCGGCAAAGGGCTTTGGGCTTCGGGGCTTCGGGATGGTTTTGTGGAAGTTTAGGGTTTAGGGATGCTCAGGAATTTTCGGGTTTAAGGAGTCTTTTTCGAAGCTTAGGGTCTAGGGATGCATTTGGAATTTTTGGGTTTAGGGATGTTTAGGAAGTTTAGGGTTTAAGGAGTTATTTGGAAGTTCAGGGCTTAGGGATGTTCAGGAAGTTTGGGGGTTTAGGGATGTTCTGTTCTAGGGCATAAGAGCATTGGCATGATATAGTCGTCTTAAGCATGGAACGTGTGGATCTTCGGCAAATGCCGAAGTGGTGTATAGTGGTTAAGGGTTCAGGGTTTAGTACTCCAAGTTTGATACCCTAAACCCTAAACCCCCCTAAGGGGTTTTAGGGTTTAGGGTTATTACTATTGCTTGTTCAAACGGTGGTGGGCTTTATAGTCTCTTGCGAAAAGGACTCTTGCAGGTCCTGCTGTAGGAGTTTGATCAGGTTTTGGGGCTTGTTTGGGTTTAGGGGTTTAGGGTTTAGGGTTTAGGATAGAGCTTAGGGTGCCCGGCATGTTTCTTAAGAACCCCTTCATTTGCCATCGTTTTTCTCGACAGGCCGACTTACGCACACCTTCGTGCTCCGGTCGGGACTTGTGGGCTCATAGGTGTTTCAAGGGTCCCAAGCACCTCTAAAGTTGATATTGTTTCCTCGGGTAGTAGTCAGGTTTGGTTGGTATCTGGAGGAGTGTCTAAGGTTACTACCCATAGGCCCTAAAGTAGTTCCTTTTTGGGGTTCAGATATAGAATCCTATAAAGTAACCGCAAAAAGGAACTACTATGGGGCTTGTGGGTAGATACTTGGACCCTTTACTGGGGTTTGATACATATCGTTGAAGCACAGTAACCTGGCAAGCCTTGATCCGCATGACCAAAAGAAAATCCTAAACCTTGAAACACTAAAATAAAGAATCCCTCTATAACGTTCGTTTACTACTACTACTACTACTA